CTTTGCCCACGCTACTGCCTAAAGCCACTGTGACATACAACCTTTCGTATGGGCACAAGGCGATCCGGAATCCTGAAAAAGTTCGGTGAATAGCCCCGACATTCCGGAGGATAAATACCCTCACTATATTTTGAGCCACTTCAGGTCTTTGCCCCCTTAGGATTTGCCTCACTAGTGGCTAACTAGTTCGTCGTCTGCTAAGATCTTGTGGCTTCCACTAAAGTGAGAAGTGCCCGCGCGAGTCGTTAATCTCTGACTAAATTTACACAGCACAATTTGTGGCTTGTAAAACTGAGCCCTATGCTAAAATTATTAAGATTGCTCTTAAAATTACTAATTGCATCTCTCCTTTTTAAAACTGCACTCACTTCCTAAATGCCTCAAAATTATGCCGTCCTCGCTGGAACCAGGCTGCATGCAAATACATGCCGAACGGAGCATGATTACCCTCATAGTGCCGCTTAAAGTTCTCCAACATCCACTGGAACAACGCGTCTACATCATCCTTCGGCGGAAATATACATGCATCAATCATCGCACAACTGTAGCCTTGTGTATCCACCCATGAAACCATTGGGTTTACCCAAAATCCTGGAATCGACGCTTGTGGACATGGACCAATCTGGCAATCCTGCACCGAGCGATAGTCGAGTGTGTACGGCCACATAGCCGGATTGCGATAACGTTGCGTCGGCCATGAGCTATCGTAGAGCAGATCCAACCGCTTGGCAGCTTCGAAGCTGTTATTGCCCGCAATCTGTAGGAAAGGTAAGCGCATGCCACGTATATGCTTGCGATTCACTTTCGCAAATTGTTCCAACATTTCGATTTGCTGACCGAATTCAGCCATTATTTGCTCAACATCCGCCTCGCGCCAATAATCTGTACCTGAACCGTGTGTTATGGAATGCAAAGCGATCTCATGTCCCTGCTGATAGAGCGCATTCACCAGTGTGTAATCCGTGTACTCGTGTGAGACGTAGAAAGTGCCGCTTGCCGTGCAGTTATCAGGATTGACTAGTCCTTCGAAGAGCTGCTGATACTGCTCGTAGTTGATTACATTTACCGCATCATCGAATGTGATCGTGATGAGCTGTTAAATGAGGGAATGACGGTGGAGTTTGAAACAAATTAGAGTATAATTTTGGTAACGCACACACCTGCGGTATTTCCTTTTCGCGTCCCTGGAACTCTGCGCTTGGCAGGCGCAATCCTGAGCAACGACAATTTGGCAGTTGGCACTTATCGACGGTGCAGCGCTCGGCTTTTTTCAGCGGTAGCGAGCTATTAGTTTCTTCTATTGGCTTCTCTTCGCCATGCACCAGCGCTGCACACAGCGCGAGTAGTAGTAATGATCGGAGAGTTACTCTGTGGAACATAGTTACAGCTTCAATATTCAGTTATACGATTGCCTTGCACTCTTTTATGGTCTCGCGATTCTTCCCAAATGCACACGTTGTTATCTTATCTGTATGGAAAATTTGCTGTTGATGTTGGACCATCTTTTTCGACATTCATGATGAACTTGCTGGTTGTTTTACTTGTTGTACGACAAGGTCTTGTCACCGGGACTTGTTAGTCAATTTGTTCCAATTAGTGGGTAATTTAATTTGTTTCTAAATGAATTTGCTTGCATGAGTAATTTTCTGGTTCTAGGCTTGGATGATTCATAATTGCGAAATAAAAACAGCAACAAAACACTTGAAAGCTTCGTAGTACAAAGGAAAACGGCATTACGAAGCAGCCTTTGTAGGAAACTATTGAAAGCAAGCAAACATAACATATTTTTTTTATAAAAAAAAAATATTATTTAAATCACAAAATTAATTCATACGTAAGGGAATTGAATTCTGACTTCTACATTCTCCCCAAAACGCTCCACTTAATACTTCCTATTCGCCATACCACGACAACCAAAAGGAAAAGTGTGCCTAAATGTATGTTAGATCCTCGAGCAATGCCATTTTATCTTCTTATTTAGTAGGTATCTATAAGCATAGATGCACATCTCAAATGTCACATCAAAATAAATCACCTAGTCTCTGGACATGTATGATGAGATTAGACTTAGACTCAGGAGAGGCAGGTGACATAGTCACAGATTAGTTTTGGACACACTGCTTATCAAGTAACGGGTAAACATCTGCAGGTCCTGAGTGAGTTATTATAAATCACACGCAGCCTTTTAAACATCTGGTGCAAGGAATGTGGACTTAGCGTCAATCCCGGGATGTTACTCTTCACGAGGAAGTATAGTAATTCTCTATTCATACCTCCCTCCTGAAACGAGATAGAGCTTCTCTATCAACCGAGGCCAGATAACTTGGAATTATTCTAGACAAGAAACTCAAGTGCAATGGAAATATTGAAGACCGCTACAAGAAAGCCAACACCGCCTTGTATGCATGTCAGAGGGCACTGGATGTACACAGCGGTGCTAAGACCCATCCTCTTCTAGCCGTGAAGAGACCTCAGATTCAGAAACGCAATGGGCCTTGAAACATTACCGGATAACCTACGATATCTAGATTATACCACTCTCATACTCTGTTTAGAAAACAATTTCTCCATTAGAACCCCAAGGAGGAACGAATGGAAAGGTGCCATAGACTTCGACCCAGGATCGATGGCTATGTATACAGATGGGTCGAAGCTTAACGAAAGAATGGGAAGCGGGATTTACTCTGGTGAACTCGCGCTAAACCTCAATTTTTGCTGATCGGACTATTACAGCGTTTTTCAAGCAGATGTAAACGCCATAATGTTGCGGTGGCCCATAACCCTCGATCATCCAGGAGGATTCTCAAGCTGCTGGCATAAAAATTCCTGGTAACAACCGGTCCAGCCTCCTGCAAGCGCAAATTAAAGGCTTAATTCATCGAGGAGGTAAATACCAGGTAAGCTGTGGTAATCACCTGCCATACCGTTAGCTAAATTTAGCCAAAAATGTATGTAAAGCATTCCATGGCTATCACTCGGCTGGACTGCACTTTTCTGGGCTAAGTTGGCGGAGCAATAACCGGATACTGCCTGATAGGCCCGCACGGAAAAGGGCTGAGTTATCCAACCAACGATTTTTGTCGCAGCTGCTGAGCCGAGGAAAATGGGGAGGGCATCAAACCTTTACCGTTTACTCAATTTTCCGTGCTATATAAAACACAGTCGAGGGTTATACTATTAAGGGAGGGAAAGAAGCAAATGGCTACCGCCGGTGGTATCACAACGGGATTGGGCTTTCCGCTCTAATCTAAAATCTAACCTAGACCTAGACCCACGGAAGGGACAGGCCATATGGTCGCTGCGGCTAAAATATTCTTTCGTTGCAAAACTCTTTTCGCTTAGGTACCAAACTTTACGTTTCTAAGTATAAATTTAGGGGATGCTCATGATGCTTATATTTTACTCTAAAAGTATTGTCTACATATATCTATTAACCAAACAAGTGTTTAAGCAATCTAAGAACATTTTAAATTTAGATTATCTACAAAAAGATCACAAGCTTCAGTTGTCATGGCAACACTAGCTTTTTATGAAAATCACCAATATTTTTGCCAGTTTCA